AGGGTATGCAGCTGCTCACTACTATGCGCACCCCCAGGTGAGGCATGGGGGGCGTATGCTTCCCTGGATTTGTGTGCAGGGCAAAGGCAGGCTACCAGTTGTGGCCTCAGGGCATGGGGCTGTGCCAGCCTCTTCCCAGCAGTGGGGGCTGGGCCAGGGTGTATTTGGGGCAGGCGGGGACAGGGCAGGTGGCAGCAGCGGTGCTGGGAGGGGTGGCCACCCCAAAATTCCCTGTAGCCCCCTGTAACCACCCCTCCCAGTGCCACCACCACCCACCCCAAGGGCAGCCTTGGCCCAGCCCCTTGCCAGGAAGAGGCCAGCACAGCTCCTGGCCCTGATCCTGCCCTCGTCCTGTGCACAAATTTGGGAGGGACACATGCCCCCCACACCTCCCCTGGGGGCTGCCCTGCCTGGGCAGCACCTGCCCCCTCCCTCACTGTGGGGGCCTTAATCTGCATCCCCCACGCCCCTTCCTTTCCCCATGCCCCTTCCCCCCACCAACTAACTGGCAGGGAGCTGCTCTCCAAGCTGCTGGGCTGCATATTGGCTATTAGATCGGTATCAGCTGATATGGCTGGTTAATAATTGGCCATCACTATTGGCCAAAATTTTTTTAATCGGTGCACCCTAGTTATATACTGAGATTGCTAGCATCTTTCACATAGGACAACAGACAGCCTTGTAGGGCTGAGGCAGATGTTACCATCTGTTGTGCCATAGCTGATATTTTCCACAAATTCATGCCCTTTGTCACACTAAAAAATGGCTGATCTGCCCCAAAAATAGCAGATGTATGGCAAAGAAGTTACTGTTTCAAATAGCAGCAGCTGTGTTGCAGGAAGCTCTGCTGTGACTACTGTGACGTGTTTAATGACTGGAAAGGTCTCTCCACTCCCCACTACCCTATAGGCAGTGGAAGGCTGGGGCTTGTGGGAGCTTAGGCCTCCCAAACTAATTGCAGCAGCAGCACCAGGGTACCACTTTGGTGTTCATCATGGCCAGCGCCCCACACGCGGGCAGCTCCATAAGCCTAAGGAAGAAGAGGCTAACCATGCATGTGTCACACTGCACAGAACATGATGGGAGTTGTAGTTCTCATGCTGAAACACACACTCATCCCTCACAAATAATACTTTCTCCCTCTGTATATGCCTGCAGTGCTCTGGTCTCCCTCCCGCCCTGTTCAAGTGGGAGGGTGGGATGGAAGGAGAGCAACTGGCTTGTCCCGTCAGGGAGCCTTGCAGGGACTGGCTTGCAGGCAGCCCCCTCAGCCGTTGCTGCCAGTCACCAATAGTGGCAGCAGTGGCAGGGGCTGATCGGGTGGTCTCTACCGCCTTATCAGTTCACCAGGAATTTTAAAGGGCTGCTGGTGCTTGAGTACCAGCTTTATTTTGAATCTTGCTGTTCCTTCTACTCTCTCATGGCCTTCCCCTTAAGGGTTAAATCAATTGGGGCCTTCCTTTATTCACAGGCTTCCATTTCGATTAGCCTAGTATTGGGAGTGCAAAACATGTAGTCTTCTGGCTGGATCTGGTGCGGAAGGGCTAGGAATTTGGGGGTAGGGAGAGCTTGGCTGCATTAATCCCTGCAGTTCTCTGAGCCAACACAGCACCACTGCTGCCACTTGTCCTGCCTCTGGAGATGGGTCCGAGCCCAACCGGCAAGGAGCCAAGTAGTCAGAATCTGACCTGAGGGAGAGGGGGGTGCAAATTAGGGGTGAACCAATGGAGATTTCGGGGGCCGATACGGATAGCTGATATTTAAGGAGGCATATTGGCCAATACCGATCTGATTTCCAATACAGCTGCATGCAGCTTGTAAGTCTGTTGTGGTGGAAAGGGAGGGGGCAGAAAAGGGGCGTGGGGGGGCAGATCAAGGCCCCTGTGGTGAGGGAGGGAGTGGGGCTGGGGCAGGGGCTGCCCAGCTGGGGTGGGGCACAGAACGGAGCTGCAGCTCATCCCAGGGCTATGGGGGGGAGTTCCTGCTGCTGGAGACACCCCAGGAGAACATGGGGGGGGGCGGGGGCGTATGTGCCCCCCCAGATCTGCATGGGGCAGGGTGGTTGCTGAGGGGTGGTGCTGGACTCTTCCTGGTGGGGGCTGGGCGTGGGGTGGGTGGCAGTGGTGCTGGGAAGGGTGCTTTGGGGGGGGCTACAGCCACCCCAAAGTTTGCCATAGTCCCCCCTCCCAGCGCTGCCCAGGCCTAAACCCCCACCCCTCCCCCACGTGCCAGGAAGAACATGGTGCAGCCCCAGCCCACAGCGGCAGCCCACTCTCCTCCCCTCACGCAGATCTGGGGGCACCCCTCCATACCCTCCTGGGGTGTGTGCAGCAGCAGGAGCCCTGCCCTGTGCCCCCCAGACGCCTGCCCCACTTCCTCACTGCAGGGGACATTGATTTGCACCCCCTCCCCTTCTACCACAACAGCCTTACCAGCTGCACGCAGCTCTCCAAGCTGCCAGGCTGTGCTCCTCGCTGCCTGCGTGCTGTGCTGTGCTGCAGCTGCGCACACTCACAGACATTTATTGGCCAAACTATTGGCCCCATCAGGCTGATTTCTGACGCAATCAATTTTTTTGTATTGGTGTTGATCTGATATCCGACAGATATATCCATGCACCTCTAGTGCAAATAAGTGATACTCCTACCATAGTGTATTTTTTGCTTATGTCCTGATTGTGCAAAGAATGTGCTTGGCTTTAAGCATGTGAGTGGTTCCATTCACTTGAGAGATTTTGTTGGTAGGTTATCTGGCTACACTAATATTTAATAAATGGATTGACACTTTTTATTCTTGTTCAACTCTAGATTTTGCCAACTGTTAATGCTTTCTTGAACTGTTTTCCACTTCTAAAGGACAAGTTGTAGTTTGCTAACAGTTCTATTTGATTACTACTGCCAATTATTTTGCAACACATTTTCTTAAATTAATCAAAATTTTTTTTTGTAGCAAAAGGAGAGCTGTCGATCTTTATCTTTGACTGGCCATGTTGGTTTTGATAGTTCACCAGATCAACTGGTTAACAAATCCATCAACCAAGGCTTCTGCTTCAACATTCTTTGTATTGGTAAGTAATATACATTTATTTTTATTATTGATAGAAGTGAGCATTAAGGATTTAACCATATACTATTTCCTGGTACTGAGGGAGTATTTTATTTTTATTTTATTAGCCTTTATTAGGAAGTGACTGCAATATTAATCCAAATAAATTCCCAAGGCTTTTTCTACTTTAGGATTAATAATAAATTAATCATAATTCCCTCTTCTCTTTACACAATCATCCTGGAGTTGTTTTTGCATAATGTTTGGCGCTGTCAAAGATAGCATGAGAAATTATGGTGAGAAGGTCTTAATCATTGATTCAGAGGTGGCTTTGAGAATTCTTTAAAATTTGTGCCCTACATCTGTGGCAGTTATTCTCAACCAAGGTACCACGGCACCCTGAGGTGCTTTCAGATCCTTTCAAGGGTACTGCAGGAAACCAGGTAATGTTAGTACTGTTAAAGGTGCAAACATAATTGACAAGGGCAACCCAGAGATTTCAAACAGGAATCCGTAGAGTTAAAAACATTCTGACCTGTTGTGGTCTTTCTGGGTTCTTTGCAGCAGAAGAATAGCTATATTATTTTTCGGTAGTCAAAACAGGTGAAAACTAAGTGCTGGTGTTTTCTGAGGGGTGTCTCGAGTCCAAAAAAGGTTGAGTTTTACCTCTGTAGACCTCAAAGCACTGTCACCTTTGACAGTAGATCTTGAAACAATCTTACACATATTTGTTTGTTGTTTTAATGCATTATCTTTGCAGAAAAGCACTTTGAATTCTGTGTCTGTACAGCCAAACATGCAGCTTTTTAAGGTAATGATGTCCTGTAAACAGGGCGTGCATCTTCCTTAAGGCTAATATTGCGCTGACCAAGAATATTAGATAATCTATCCCATCCCTTAATTGTCCCTTATTTTCTCCCTGTTTTAGCTGGTGTAGTGGTATATTATACCTTCTCCCTCCCTGCATGGAATAGTTGACTTAAAAATGTGTGTAAAATAATGAAATTGGATAGTTGTGGTTTAATAATGACTTAATGAAATAAGTTTTTTTTTTATAGTTAAGTACTCACCCATTTTTTTTATCCTGTACTTTGCTGACATTGTGTAGTTATGTCCTAAACTGCCCTATTAGACCTACATAGACATTTTACCTTGTCAAACAACCTTTTTCTTTGTAAGACTGAAATCCTGTTTTTGGAACTCAAGATACTGATGCGAGACAGGAAAGGAACTTCTGTATAACTCTAGGTTTTTGTCCTTGGAAGTATTAATTAGCATAGATCATACAGATTCTTTAATGTCTTTGAATGGTCATTTCATTTTAGCTGTACTTGTCCAGAAATTGAAGGCAATGTTTTAGAGCAGGCCTGTCTAGCTTATTTGCGGGGTGGGGAATGGATGGATGACCCACCTGTGGCATTGAGGCAAGAGGCAGCTGTGCTGATCTCACTACCACTGCTTGTCCTATCTCTGAAAGTTAGAGATCTCAACCTGGAAATTTAGCAGTGGAATGACCAGCACCCATGGGGTTAACGCTGATGCTGCTCATTCTGCCCCAAGGCATCCCCAGTGGGGATCTCTAACTGGAAATTCTGTGGCGGGTGAGTGGTGTTAGCCTCTAGCAGGTGCAGAGGTTAACACCACTGCTGCTTGCCCCGTCACAGAAGTTCTGACTTTGCATGTTCTGATTTAAACATTTGCAGGCTGTATGTGGCTCATGAGCTGCCATTTGGACAGCCCTGTTCTAGATGGTAGTAGATGGTACTGTCTAGAATGGTACTAAGAGGCACTGGTAGTTGTTCTTTGTACAAAATACATTTGTTGGTGCTTCTAAGAATCAAAAATAGGAATTCAGACATATATGTTCAGAGAACTGGACTTACTCATGACCTCTTTAACTTCCTTGTAAGTTAGCTAAAAAAGTAATAGCTAAAAAAATATTTATGCCTTGTACCAATATATGCAAATGAACACTTTTTTCCTTTTATTTCTCTCTCTCAATTTTAGGGGAGACTGGAATTGGAAAATCAACCTTGATAGATACTTTGTTTAACACGCATTTTGATGATCGTGTAGCCAACCATTTTCAACCGAATGTAAGACTTAAAGCTCAAACCTATGATCTCCATGAAAGCAATGTTCGGTTGAAATTAACCATTGTGAATACAGTGGGATTTGGTGATCAGATTAACAAAGAAGATAGGTGAGTTTGTCTTTTTTGATAGGAGTTCAATGATTAAAAAATGGTTTTGGTATAAACTGCAAGGTAACTTTCCAGCTTAGACATGTGTGCCTTATTTTTTATTAAACTATGTATATATTCCAGGTATTTGTTTCATACATTTTTTTTCTACACAATTAGTGGCATATGTTTCCTTTTTGCTAAGGAAGTCATTTGAGAAATCAGCTTTAACTCTGCCCCTTGGGTGCATCCAAACGAGTGTGCATGTGGAGTTTGTGGCACTGTAGACCTGTCTGCAGCATCACAAACATATGCGCTAGACATACAGGCATTTGCCATGCTGCTGATTTGCAGCATGGCAGATTTTTTTGACACTGGGAGATCCCAGTGTCAAAAAAACCCACGGCAGAAAAAAGCAGGATGGCGCATGCGGTGGCAACATGTGCTGCCCAAAGCCAGAGCCTGGCTGGCTAGAGCCATACTCCAGCTGCCAGCCAGGCTCTGCATGCCTGGATCACCACCATTGGAGCCCAAAGACCCCAGGAAAGGCTGCTGGGGCCAGCCCAGGTGACTGACCCCAGCCTCCCCTACTCCACTTGGGGCAACTTGCCATGCACCAGAGTGCACATGCATTGGCATTTCCTGGGGACAAGTAGCAGCAGCACAACTATATGCTGCTGCTGTTTGTCCTGGGGGAAACACACATGTACGCTTGTCTGGATGCGCTTCTTGTGTTCATGACTTTTATAATATAGTCTTTCACAAACTATTTCAATAAAATATAGTAATTAATTTCTGGTTTTTGAGGGGAATTTTTTAAATACTCATACAGATACCAAATTATACCACCACATACAGAGCCTGATTTTATGCCAAACCTAATCAGTGTGGTCATTATTTCATTCTGCTTGAGTTTAAAGGCTAAAGTGGTGGCATATTACAAAACATAGTATTTTAACATTTTTCAGGGACTTATGCAGGGTGCAGTAGGAACCTGTTTAGGCACCTAATACTTGGAGTAGGATCTAGCCCCTAGTGTACAAACTTAATTTTTCTTACAATTTAAGTTGCATTGTAGATTCCAAAAAAAAAAAGCTTATCTGGATTTTTAAATTGCTGAATACTTAGTTTGAGATCCTAGTTAGAAGATACAGTATTAAAAAGATAGCACTTTGGTTTTGATCTTTTCCATCAGTTTGGTTTGTTTATTTTAAGATTCATAACTATTGAACTGATTTTCATCAACTTTTGTCTTTCACCTTCAATCTAAATAATAATTTATTTAAGAACTAAGTAGCATTAGCCATGGTGGAGCGCAGCAGACCCCCCTCCACGCCTCCAGCTGAGGGGACCCAGAAGTTCCAACCTTCCCCAGAGATTGACAGAGATGGCTGTCTGTCAGTATCTGGGGAGGGGTGGGACTTTTGGGGCCCCTTGGCCAATCAGAGGTGTTGGGGACACGCACCTCACTCTGCCGTGAAATTCTCTCTCTCTCTCTCTCCTCCCCGTGCTTTAGGACACCAGGGCTCCCTGCTGTTTTCTATTTGCAGATCCCTCTTTTCCTGCCTCGCTGGCTTTTTTTTTTTGCACGTTTTCATGTGTCTTTTTCACAGGGGACATGCCAATTTCATGGTTTCCACAAAAATCATGACATTTTGATTTCGGTAGGTTGCTACTGATGTACCCTACCTTTTATCACCAGTGGCAGTTAGAAAAACTGTTACCTTTACTTTAGCCTTCCATGTGTTGTTCATATTTACATACACATAAAAAACAATTTAATGTGAATTCACAATAGCATGTAAAACCATATAATGTGAATTCCTTTTCAGTTCAATCCTGCCTAAGAAAAATTAATCTTTGGTTGCTATGATTTCATTTTTTTTTTTTTTCAGCTACCAGCCAATAGTGGATTACATAGATGCGCAATTTGAGGCCTACCTCCAGGAAGAACTGAAAATTAAACGCTCTTTGTACAGCTATCATGATACTCGTATCCATGTCTGCCTCTATTTTATTTCACCAACAGGCCATTCCCTTAAAACTCTTGATTTGTTAACTATGAAGAATCTTGACAGCAAGGTAACTTTTTTTAAATAGTTTTTTATAGCCTCTTGCTTGGTGTTTGCTTTGTCTGGTGTTTCTGTAATACCGAGGGCTTTTAAAGCAAAGTCCAGTGAAGAGAGGATCTTGGGTTCCTATCTTTGCTGCCCAAACTTTTTATATATTTTGTACTAGACTGTCATTGATTAAAAAATAAATAAATAAAATCTTGGCAGCAGGGATTAGAACCCAGGATTTTCCCACTCCCAGGGGTGTGCCTTTGTTACTGGGCCATGGGATTATACATGTGTTTGCTTCTAGGATACAAATCCTTCCCTTTTTGCTACCTGGTAACCTTTAACCTGCTGGCCTTTATAAGAGAAGTCCGTCCCTGAGGAACTCCTCAGCCAGTGCTCCAAAGTAAAGTTCAGTCTTAAAATAAACAAGCAAAACAACATCTCTTTGTCTTGTTCCAGACCCTTGCTCTGGTCCCACCACAGCAGCCTGGCTTCTCATAACAGTTTTCTTTAGAGTTTGCTTCCTCCTCCTCTTACTTTCTCTTCTGAGAGCATTTAAAATTCCCAGTAGGACATTCCCTCTTTGTGCAAATGACCCACAGCTGAGCTGTCTTAACAGACCTGACTGTTTCTCCTTAAAGAGACACCCAGGTTCAATAGGAGGGGCTGGTATCATAGAATCATAGAAATTTAGGGTTGGAAGGGACCTCAGGAGGTCGTCTAATCCAACCCCATGCTCAAGGCAGAACCATCCCCAACTAGATCATCCCACCAAAAGCTTTGTCTAGCAAGGTCTTAAAAACCTCCAAGGATGGAGATTCTACAACCTCTCTGGATAATCTGTTCCAGTGTTTTAATACCCTCCTAGTAAGAAAATTCTTCCTAACATCTAACCTAAACTACTGTTGCTCCTTGTTCTGTCGTCTGCCACCACTGAGAACAGTTTAGCTCCGTTCCCTTTTGAACCCCACTTCAGGCAGTTGAAGGCTGCTATTAAATTCTGTCTCAGTCTTTGTCTCTAGACTAAATAAGCCCATCCATTTGTCTGTTCAGGTTATTTTAGAGTTGGGTATTCAGGATACTCTTGCGAGAAGTGAGGAGATACGGGTCTTAAGATACTCTTGTGAGAAGAAGGAAATATGGATCTGAGTCCCTTCAAGACAAGGAGAGTTTAATACCAGGTTTCTTCCTTCCTGGGAAAGTGCTCTAACTACTTGACCAGTGTTGCTCCACCTGTCTGGCCCTCTGGGCCAGAAGAGGGGTGCAGAGTGGGGTCATTTCACAGGTATTATCTGGCTGTGTGGTGGCTTGATGCTGTTCATTGGATACAGCTGTAGGGTGACTGTGTGCTGGCCTGACCATGCATTGCCATGATCTATCATGTGGGGCCACATTGTCCCACCCACAGGGCTCCCTAGGGATCCAGAAATTTGTCAGAAGGGGAGAAGAAATTACTGCTGCCACAACTCTTCTACCCACCAAATTTCTGGACCCATGGGGCAACCCATGGGCCAGATAAGATGGCTCTGTGGACCAGATTTGGTCTGTGGGACAGGAGATTTCACCAACTACTGAACTGTATTTGCATTTGTACTTGTATTTCTGAATGAATGTTAGTCAGTGCTGTGCTTTATACTGAAATAACTGTTGTCAATGTCAGGCATGCTCTGCAGATGGTAAAATTTAGGTACCTCCAAGTTTTGAGCTGGATCTCGACAGAGCCTGGTTGGGAATTACAGGTTAATAACCAATAACATCTAGGTTATTAACTGTCTCCAAGCACGTGCAGAAGCCTATGCCTATGTGCCTGGGGAACTTTTCAAGCTAAAATGGATGTGCCTGCTGATTCTAGATGCTAAATTGTTTAAATGGATTAAGCTCGATCATTTTGAGGGATAAAGGTATTTAAATTCTATCCACGTTCTGTTTGGCTCCCTAAAAGAAGACTGGTTCTGACTGGAAGTATCTGACTGTATATTTTTCTTGCTATGGACTGAGTATTTCAGTAATATGTATTGGGTCACATTCAGCTAGATCTAAGGTGATCTCTTCTGTGTGTGTATGACGTTTACGTTGAAACAGAATGTTACCTGGAGTTCATTCTGTACTTCCGCGGCGGCAGGGAACGTGGAAGGCAGCCAGCTCCATCATGCGGGGCTTCCCATGGTGGCACATGCACGTGCACTATGGGGAGCCCCGTGCGATAGGGGCGGGCCGGCCTGGCTGTGCTCCTTGCTGCCATGTGCAGCTCTGGCCAGAGCCATGTGCTGCTGGGTGGCAACACCTTCTTCATGGGCCACAAGTGCCCCGAGGGCTCCTTCCTGCTGCTGCTGCCTTGAGTCATGGGGGGGAATGTGTGAAGGGGGTCACACCTCACAAACCTCACATGGCCAGAACCTGCCCCCACA